CTTGTGACGTCCACGGCCTACCCCAGTTACCACTACTGTGCATGTGTGTCAAGGACAGAAAGGCAGATGTGGCAGTGGAAGGTGTCAAAGCAGTTTGGAGAGAAAAACAAAGTAAATAACAAAAAAAGAGAGTAAACGATTAATCGATTATTAAATTAGTCGTCGATTATTTTAATAATCGATTAGTCGTCGATTAATCGATTAATCGTGGCAGCCCTAAAAATAAGAAATAATCTTTCTAATCTAACTTTAAATCAAGAATAAAAGAAGCAAATGCTAATGATGTCGCTCCAGATCAATAAATATCAAGTTTTTAGGCCAGCACTCGAACAAACTAGTTTGTTGCAAAGCAGGTGATAAATCAACAAATTATAACAAACGACTTTTCAGATTTCAAAATAATGACTAGTTTCCAGTAGGGGTGTAAGAAAATATCGATACACTGAAATATCGCGATATTTCATTTCCCGATACTGTATCGATATTCTAAAGCCCTGTATCGATTTTTTTTATCAAGGTTTAAAATGTCAACCTTCTTGCCAACCGTTCATTTTTATGTTGTAATTCAGCCTCTGGCCGCTAGTTGGCAGCAGTGAGCCAGCCATTTGGCTACTCTACCTCTTGAGCACCAGAGAGTAAGAGAGCATTGTTAGTAAACATTAGCTTTTTTTTCAGTAAGAGGTTTTTATTTAATAGAATTTTTGGACAAAAAAATCGCAATATATCACAATATATCGCCTTGCTTACAGTATCCCAATATATCGGGATATATCGTATCGTGACCCCTCTGTTACGATATGTATCGTATCGCCAAATTCTTGCCAATACACAGCCCTAGTTTCCAGCACGTCACATATTTTGAGCAAAATGTTGAGGAAACGAGTTAAACTTACTTAAGAAGCTCATCATATTTGGCGCCTTCTGCTTTGATGTCCCTCATAGACTTAACCAGACCCCTAAAGAAAACAAAAGCATTCATCATTTTATTTAATCTACAGTAGGGCTGCAGTAAGCACCACTTAATGTCCAGTTAAAACAAGTATTGCTTCAAGGGTTCAATGTTTTTCAATAAAATAAGATTGGAAGGTGTATTGTGACCTCGTAACACCCGACAAAATCAGAGTACAGAAATGTGTTCTGGCTCAACTCAAACCATCTGAAGTGAAAAGAGTGCAGATCAGCAACTAAAAACGCCTTCATCAGCTGCAAACCGTCCTCTACAGTATTTTCTAAAGAGTCGAGGCACAAATAGTATGAGTCGAAGGATTTGTAGCTGAGAAATTAAAACTAAAGAGATTTAATCTGTGCAAGTTGTTCTGGAATACGATGGCAGTGAAGGACTCACTGAGCTCGTCTCTGGTACTCGTGAAGCAAACGATCCTGACCGACCGCAGTCTTCAGAAACCTGGCACGGACCAGACCGAGTCTCTTAACGGCCATGTCCAAGGAGGAGGCTGGCGTCGCCGCAGCCTCAGGAACCCAGCTGCCATCTGGCAACAGAACAARACGAAATYAATTAAAACAGAATCAAAACAAAACGTGATAATGTCGAGSACACATAAAGAACAGTACCTGTGTTGAATGTCTTCATTTCCTGCAGCATGACACGACTGGCTAAATGAAGCATCAAGCTGACAAACTTGGGGCCGCCGGGGGACAGAAACAAGGACGCCACGACTTTGGACTCTGCGTTCGCAGTGTCGTCCTACGAGAAGAGCACAGCGTTTAAATAATGTATTTCTAACTTTTCGATTTGGAGTCCAAAAGGCGGTTAAGATGTTGCAAACATTTACAAAAAAATAACATAAAACTTACACATCAAGCTATAAAAACCAGCAATAATTTTTTACCTTCACAACCTGTTTATTGGGGTTMTTAGATTATTTAAAATATAAGAAAATATATAAATTTTAGGTATTTCTTTTAGCTTTGGGTTTATTTATTAGGTCAAAATACAAACGTTTCATGCAAATATTTAAGTAAGGAGGAAATAACACCAATAAGAGAAGATGGATAAAAAACAGAGCCCAGATAAGAACATAAACGTGACTTTTAATTCTGAAAAAAAAAAATAAAATAAAACTATTTGAGGTAGTTATACTTAAACCTACAATAAATCTTACCATTATTTCCCGCAGCCAACAACAGGTAACTCTGCGGAACTCTGCGTCTGCTTTGTGGCTCAAAACGGGCCAGCAGTGCCTAAAACCAAATATAATTATTAACCATGTGAGAGAATTATGGCATTGTATAAATCATCATCATAAACAACTTTACCTGTAGGCTTCATGAAACCTTGTGGGGTTGAATTTCTCCAACAGGAAATTGGTAACAATGTAAAATGCGTCTTTGTTTGGTTTGTCGAACATATTCCTATATTAAAACACATACAAAAAAAAAAAACCACATTTAGAAGAAACATTAAAAAGGTACCAGAGCTCGGAAAGAGCCTAAACAAAGCGAACTCACGGTCCCAAGTTGAGATATTTAATGTTAGTTTTGCTAACGATGGACGAAGCGGCAGCGTCGGGTTGAAATCCCAGCGCCAGGAGAGAAAACCACAAATGTTGTCCTTGTTCCTTCTGCAGTGATGTGGGGTTTGCCATTGTTTAAAGACAGCTTCGTGACATAAAACACAAAATAGTTCCTGAGTGAGGGCAGGGAGGGGCAAAAAGTTTCGAGTTGTCTTCACGAAGTGTTGTCTAGCCAGTTAGCTTCAGAGCTAACGTCGCCGTTCAGCAAAAGTTGTTAGCTTCAAAAAACAAACATTTCAACAAAAACTAAACCAACAAACATAAAATAAAGGGTTAAGTCACGCGCTGAAATATCCACACCGCCTGGAATAACATTCATTTTAATATTTGCTAAAACAACTAACACATAGAAGGAAAACCAACACGCGAACCGCCAATTTTTTACAATTGACCCGGATGTTTTTCAAAACTACATCCGGTTTAGTGCTGGATTTTCAAAGTAAAACTTTTTTATTTGAAAGCATTTATGTATAAAGAAATGCGTGGAAAATAGGAAAATAAAGTTTATAAGGTGTAAAGTTTAAAGAAATGAAAACCAAAATCTTAGGATAAACCTTTTAAAATATTTTCTCAGCAAATTGCATTAAAGAACCAATGTTTATCAAAGTTGGGTTCAGGAGCCCTCTGTGGGTCATGAAATATCAAGCGAGGGTCCCTAGATAATTCCCACTCTAAAGAACCCATTTAAAGGCAAAATAAATTGTTAAAGTATTTTAACCATTATTTAAAAAATACTATTATTATTAATGAGTAAAGGCATCATAATTATTAGTTTGTTTATATTGTTATTATGCCTTGCATCAGTTTTTAGCAAAGTTTGCAAACAGAAACCTGCAATATCTGGTGTCACAAGTTTCTGCAACTGATATTTTGTGGGCTGGAAGCTAAAAAGTTTGAGAACTACTGCAATAAACAAATGCAAAACTGCACAAACCCTGCTACAGAATTAATATATGATGTGAAGTTCTCTTGCTTCCAATTGGATTTTATTTTTACTGTTATATATATTTAGATGTAATTTAAACATTTGTGTATTTTTTGACATGATGGTTAAAACACTCTTTACTTAAAATAAATCATAACTTTAATCAGCCAGATAACTTTTGTTTAAAATCAACTCCACATTTCTAACCCTAAATTGCATTCTTCTTACCTTTTTTGTTTTAGCTGCAATGTTCTGGCTTTTAACTCTCTATAATGAAATAGTAGTAAATATTAAAAGTTATTGTGTATATTTCTGTTCTGACACCTCTAACACCAAAAACACTGACTAACACTGTGCAGTGGGGCATACCCACTAGTTCTTCAAATAAAAACAACAAAAACGTTAATGATGTGTAAATCTGATCATGTATGAATTTAGGTTTCATTTGAGCTGCGATGTAATTAGCTCTGTTCTGACTCCTGAGTCAGAACAGATTCAACTTGATATTCATTAGAGACCTGCACACTTACCATGTAAACCTTCAGGGAGCTCCAACAATAAAAACACATATTAAGCATCATTAGAAAGTGTTTGTTTCTTTTCTTTTCTTTTCGTGTTTTTTTTTATTGCAGAACATACAAGTGTATTTCCCCTCCCTCACAACCAGACTCAGGGGAGTATTAGAAACTATACACCTCAGTGGAGTTCTTTCATAACCAGCCGGCAGCACTCGCCCACCTTGGACGGGTCCGACACGGCAGAGTATTTAGAAATCTGTGAGCCGACGCCGAGGGAGCGTGCCAAGTCCCGGGCCATCTCGTCGGAGGCCACAGTGGTCCCCAGGGCCACCAGCAGCCTGAACACGGCCTCCCTGTCCTGCACGGTCTCCAGGGCCCTGCTGGCCACCGACAGGCACTGAGCCTTGGCCTCCAGGTCGGGCTGGCTGTGAAGGCAGCTAGCGTAGTTGAGCACCAGCGTGGCCAGGGCCACGTGGACGTTCTTGTTGCGGACGGCGGCCAGGTCGACGGCGCGCGACAGCACCGTGTCGCGCTGCGCCATGAGGAGGGCGCGGCCGGGCCCGCTGCTGAARCAGTTGCAGAGCGTGCGCAGCGCCAGCATCTGGTTGGCCGGGCGGCTCTCGGGACGCATCAGCTTCAGCAGGTGGTTGCACAGCTGCACGCCCTCCGCCTCGCCGCAGAGGCTCTTGTTCACCTGCGGGTGGCGCACCGCCAGCCGCAGGATGTCCAGGACGGGAAACACGATGTCTGCGGCGCAGTGACAGCGTTAGGGAAAAGCCACGGGTATAAAAAAAATAATGTTTTCTTGTTTAAAAGTTGTCACCTTCAGGCCAGTGTGACGCCTTCCAGAGGACGTCGATCTGCTGGATGGTCGGAGGAGGCTGGGATGAGTTCGACCCACAAACCGACAACAACAACCTCTCCAGATTTTCCACAACGTCGTCAGAGAGTTTCTGCTCCGGAGGGGCCTCGCTGTTCAGCTCCTTTAATTTAGCTTAAATACAAAAAACAGAACTGGCTGAGTGACGAGTCTTATTTAACAACATGACAAAATAAACAAGAAGTTTTAGTAATAAATCAACAGTATCTCTATCATGATTTAAATCCTTCTTTTTCACATTTAAATCATTCAGTTTGTTTTTTTATATAGTGGAACTGCAATGCTCCTCCTCCTTATCGTAACTCCACAAGCCCCTCTTTCACTCCTTTTCCGAGTGTGTCTCAGATGAATTTGTTTTGATGCTGTCTCTTTAAATCTAAACGAGGTGCTTCACACCCCGTCCCCCTCCAGCTTCCAGACCAGTCCATTCTAGTTTAATAGCAGGGTTTACAGTTACAAAACTTTAAGTTCAGAAGCAAAAGGAGAGACAGGGATGGGTAAAAATATGGATTCATCAACGYGCTGCAATAGATTTATTTATTTATTTTTTCAGAAAATCCTCTGAATCAATTCGATCCCCTGGTCAGTTTGTCGTGTTTTTAAGTTTGAACTTAATATTTATTGGGCTACTGCTTTATTTTCTAATATTTTATTTCTCAAAAATGTTAAAGTGAATCATTTCTATTTATTTGGGCAAGAAAATAAACAATTAAAATGATCTGTATTTCTTCTTATTATGAAGCTCATTTCGAAACACTGAAAGCAATTTCAACTTGAACTCAAACTGAACTGTCTCGCACATTTTCAGAGCTCAATCCAAAACGCTCACCTATAATCTGAGAGGAGTTGGCTTGCTCAAAGGTCACACTGTCCAACTTGGGGAAGTAGATGTTGGTTGGCATCTTTTGGGCGGAGCCGGCGGAGTACGCGCCTTTTCCTGTAGAGGAAGATTCAACACAAGATCAGATAAGTTATTATTTATTTTCATCTATTTGTTCATTGTTTCTAAAGTAAAGACGGCTCAAATTGTTAACCCTTTAAAGTGCCTGTGACATCATTTTTTTGCAATAAAAATGAACACATTTTAGGCAAGATAATGTTAATAATATATTGCAAAAATAAAAATCACTCTGCTGAGATGAACAGTTGTTGAGATATTTGCATGTGAAGTAACAGGAAGTGATGTAAAAGTGGAATATCTGCATGTGAACAGAGAGTTGCTACAATAACTAATAAACACAAACTGTAGAGAAGAATCTGACGTTTCTGTAGATTATTTTGAGTCACTGTCAGGGAGATGAAGAAGAGTTCAAATAACGATTCAATAAACAAAGACCAGAGAGTTTTCTTTCTTGAAGAGTTCCCCTTTGATGWCACTTCCTGTTTCASTTTGGCTGAGSCGAGTTCAACAGAAAATATGCCAGTTATGTSACTAAACAAGTAAAATCATGGTTTCTTAAATAKAACAATGTTTTCTTTTATGTTTTGTATTTGAAGGTTATGCATGTCACAGGCATTTTAAAGGATTATAATCTGGTGGTCATTTCACTGGTACAGGTGGGTTTTCGCTCACCTGTGAAYGGGTCAGCCCCGCCTAAAGGAGCGCCGGGGTTGGGGTTGGACCCTGGGATGTATCGACCCCCACCTGGGAGGAGTTTAAAAAGAATAAAGCTGTGAAACGGCRTCTAGAGGGGGCTTCTTATCGTAGAGAACATGTGGGTTTAGATCCTGACCTGTGAACGGATCGGCCCCAAATGTCTGACCGTCGTCAGCGGATCCAGGAATATATCGAGCTCCTCCTGTCCGCAAACACAAACACAAGTACTTAAACAAGGAAAGTAGTAAAAAAAGTACTATAGTTTTTCCAGGTTTGTACGTCGCAGCCTCACCTGTGAACGGATCCCCTCCCTCAGGCTGGGCCGGACCCACCACGTGACCTTTAGTGTTCTCGATAATAAAGTTAGCCACTTGGTCCAGAAACATGGGGCTCAGGTCATTCTTCTGCAGGAAGTTGTGCGCCGTCAGCCAGGGGTCCTCCGCCACGTTGTAAGGCAGTTTCARCGACGGCCCACCCTCGTTCACGTCGATGGTGAAGACGTAATCGTATTCCTGGAAAACCGGACTGCAGCTCGTTAGCGAAAAAAAAAAACCCTCGAGGCCGAGCTCCCATCCTTCCACGGCGAGCTGACTCACCTTTCCCTCGTACGTCACGTTCTTAGACGTCTGCTGGTTGGAGCCCCCCACCACGTCACCGATCTTCTGCCAGCGGCTGTCGCTGACGCTCCACTGATACGCCTCCACCTTCTGGCCGTCTTTGATCAATCGCGTCTGTCCGTCACAGTTCCCTGGATGGAGACAAGAAACAAAGAAACAACCAGCTTCTTAACTCAGGTCGACTAAAATGTTTTCAGTCAGTAAATGAGGACCTGCATCCTGATTATCAGCCGTACAGAATGATAAAGACTTCCTGTTAAAACTACAATTAAGTTAAAAGTCTTCTTTGGAGGAACATAACCCACGTCCTCTCAGTGTTAAACTGAAATCAGCTGTTTTGGTCAAACTTCACAAATTATCCAACATCACAAGATGTGTTAGCACTTCGAGTCTGTGCTAGAGACGACTCTCAGCTACCACATCATGGTTTTTCTTAAAGGCACAGTGTGTAGGATTTGTTG